GCGCCCCTAAAGGCGGCAAAACCCCCCTTTTCCTGTTTTTCTTCCCCCTGGGGGGGGCCACTTTTTTTGCCCAAAACGGGGGGTTTTTGTGGCGCGGCCCCCCTCTCGACAGGGGGAACCCCCTGCCGGGGGGCCCCCCGCCGCCTTTTTTTTTTTTCTTTTTTGCCCCCTTTTTTTTTGGGCCCCCCCCCCCCCCCCCCGGCCGCCCCCCTAGTGCCCACCCCTCCGCTGCAGGAGCACCCAGAGGAGGAGGCGATGCTCCTGCTGCAGCGCTCCTCCGCCCTCGGCGCGCTTGTGCAGGGCGCTCCTCTTCCGCGGTGCGAGCGGCGCCCCCCTCATGCGTCTTGCTGTGGGCAGGCTTGCTCGCGCAGGACCTCTCCGACGGCGAGACCGCCGCCGCCCTCTCCCCGGAGCAGGTGCGGCTGCGTCACGGCCTCCGTCTCGGCCCGCATCTCGGCCACATCTCGGCCACATCTCCACACCTCGAGCAGGTGCAGCGCGCGCGCGAGGCTGCCGCGGCACTGCACTTGCTGCTGACGGCCGCCTCCACCCTCCTCCTGCCGCCGCTGGTCTGCCTCGGCGCGGTCCACCACGCGCGGCTGCGCAGGCTCAGCGACGAGTCCCCGTCGGGCCTCGTGGCGTCATGAGGCCCATGCACACCCAAGTGAGGCTTCCTAAGCCGTCTGGGACGCGTCGCGAGAGTCGGTAGAGTCGTACTCGCCCCCGCCCAATACGCGCCTAGCGAGAGAGAAGCGAAAGCACTGCGGCGAGGGTGTGTGATTGCGCGACTCAATGTGCGCATACCGGCCTTCATGGTCCTTTGCGTGGTGGTGGGAGAGCGGTCTAGCGGTAGCGCGCTGACCCCTCTGCCGCGTCGGGTCACGCTCTTGCCTCTTGACCTGTCTCGCCCTCGTTTTGACTCTTGCCCCTACGTTCGGTGTGTAGTAGTACTGCGCAGCATTGAAGCTCTCTCTCGCCCCCCCCACCCCTCTCCTCTTGGTCGCGCGTGAAAGAATATTTATGACGGGAAAAAGGGAGCTGGATGCGCCGCAGAGGCTAGCGCAGCCAGGAGCCACGGCCAGAAACCGCCCGCAACAGCCCGCGATCGCTTTCTGCGCATCACCTCCCGCGAGTCCGGCGGTGCAGTAGGCTCAGAGAGCGGTTGATACCGACAACCTCCCTCCGCGCGGGCAGCTGTGTGCGAATCGAAGCCACCAAGCAGCCCCTCACGCGCGACCGCGACTCTCGACAGGAAGGCCCGCTTCAGTGCAGAGCGCGGCGCCTCAGATCGCGATCTGCTCACCAAATTGCTTGATGAGGATGATCGCGGTGACAAAGTAGAAGGAGTTGCGCGCCAGCTGTGGCGCCGGGGAGTGAGTGTCAGTAGGCGAGCGGGATGAGGCAAACGAGGGTGCGGCGGAAGGATCAGACAGGGGCATATACAGTGTGCGGACGGCGGACGGGGGCAGGACCTGCGTGGTGAGCTTGCGCTGCTCCGCCGGCGCCTCGGTCCACAGCTTGGCAACCACGTTGCTAAGCATCGCACGACAAGATAAGGTGGTCGCACGACACGATTCACGCGACAGGCAGGCGCACGCCCAGCACGCGGGGCTTCCTCAGTAAAAGAATTCTGTGTAATCAGGTTTTCTTCCTTTCTTTTTTCAACATTGTTGGGAGCAGCAGATTCTCTATCTTCGGATTGTCGGCGTACGCTGTTCCCGCGCTCGGACGGGCAGGGGGCGAAGGCTCGCAGACCGACATTTAGGAGAGATCGGCCGCGACATATCTGGAGCAAGCTTTCGCAACGGTTCTCTAGCAGTAAATGTGCCACATGGTGGTGCTCTTCCTTCTCGCACCTGCTCTTTCAAGCAGCGCTCTCCAGTCGTTTCCCATTCCCCGCCGAGAGCTAAAGGGAGCGACCGCCGGAAATAGAGCTCCCGTTCTCCCCCCCCCGTCAGCGAAGCCTCGGGGTGCAGCTCTGGCTGTCGCCTCCGACGGTGAAACCAGGGCTGAAGCCGGCGTTGTCTTTGATGAGCTCCCGTTCTGGCACGCCTCGATGGTGCTACTGCGCCAGAGGGCGCTCTCCGTGGTGCGCTCTCCGTTTGCGCCGCTCATTACCGGGGCGATTGCCTGGAACGCCCTGCCTGTGTTGGGCTCGGGCGAGGCGGTCAGGCTCAAGAACCTGCTCACCGAGGAGGTTGCTCAGGCGATGCTCTTTGACCTGGAGGGGGTCGTGGCGAGCGTACTCACATTCGCCCTCGGCACCGTCGCAGCGCAAGGCGTCTTTGCCCTGTGGCAGCGACAGGTCGACATTCGCAGGTCTCCGCTATGTGCCATAGCGCAGGACACACCCCTGCGCAAGAGCAGCAGCCTGCTCCCCTGCGGCCCAGGTGCCTGCTCAAGGAATTTTTCATGCTAGAGGTGCTCACGCAGCAGCAAGTGAAGCTGTTTCGGCGCGACAAGCCGCGGATGCGCAGGGCTGCGGCCCTGCTCGAACGGTACAATGAGGAGCTTAGCGCATCGCTTCGCCACTCGTGCGTCTTCGGCGCGGCGCACTCCATCCCGATGGGCGGCTCGAGCACGACTCCGGTCTGGGCGGAGCACTGGCGCAATCAGCAATCCACGGTGCTCGAGATGTCTGATCTGCTGAGCGAGGTGAGTGATGCGCTGTACGGCGGGCCGTTGTACGGCTTCTCGCCGAGCGACTCACTCGGGACGAACAGCCGATGCACCGAGCTCGTCTTTCAGCTAGCGGCGGCAAGGAACGAGCGGAGAGCCGTTGTCGAGGGCTCGCTGCCCAGCACGACCTACCTCATGCTCTCGGTGCTGATGGCGTCCCTTCTCTATTGCTTCGTGCTTCGTGCCGGACCCGCGGCCGCCGCCATCGCCTTCTTCTCCATCGACCGCGTCCGCCTCCTCTTTGCGTTCATGTGCTCCGCCTTCTCGAGCATATTCATGATCATGGCAGACCTTCATGACCCCTTTCGAGGCAACTACAGGATCGACATGACGCCTTCCGTCACGAGCGCGGCGCAGCGCATCCGCGGCGCGAAGCTGCTCGCGTGGAGGCGCGAGCCCTTCGAGGAGACCTTGGAGACGGCAGCACTGCGCCCCGACATGAGAGCAGACGACGACCTGTGAGTCGTCTAGAGAAGGAGATGAAGCGAGGGGGAGTTTGCGCGTGGGCGTTCTCTCCATGACACTACTCGCTCCCAGCGCCTCGGTGGATCCAACCCACGCCGCGTGTGTCGTGTGCCTCGCCGTGTGTGGTGTGCCGCCGCGCGGGGAGGAGGACATCGATTGCGCCTCTCAAGAGTGAGCTGAGAGAGATTTTTGAAAACCAACCGCTCTCTTCTTGTGAGCTGTGAGTTGACAATAGCGTTTAATTAATTTTAATGATTAATTAATTAAGCGCTCTCTCCCCCACCTCGCCGCCTGCCAAACCTCCGGCCGTCTCGCGTCTGCGCCTCTCGGAGCACGGAGGTGCTTTTCCGAGCGCGTATATGAGACTCCGAGCCCGACTTTTCCGACGCTGAGCCTGCGGCGCCCCCCCCCCCCGGGATAGGGTGCGGAACAGTGTGCGCATGCTCGGAGCGCGAGAGGCGCAGCGGCTCGCCTAGGCTGCTATGCAGCGCCATAAGGTGGACGCCCTGCAAGCGAAAAGAATTTCCCCGCACGCACGGCACCACGGTCGACCCTTTTCGCCACCCCCGCAAGGCATCTGGCGGCGATCGGACTGCCATGCTGGCCTCGCTGACCGCCATGTGCGCGCTCAGCCCAGCCGCCAGGCTGGTGGTTCCAATGGCAGGCCGTGCGCCCTCAGTGGTGGCTGTTGCGCCAGCCGCCGCCGGCTTCGAGAAGGGCATGTCCCAGTTCGCTGCCGACTACCCGTGGCTCGCGAAATACGGCTTTGGTCCCACCGTGAAAGCCGAACGTTGGAACGGCCGCCACGCCATGTTTGGCTGGGCGGCGATTCTAGCAACCGGCGTCGCAAAGGCCCACGGCTGGATCCCTGACGGGAGCACGGCTCTCACCTACGCCGATTGGGGCGGGCTTGCGCAACAAGGTTTCAATACGTACATATCGAATGAGAGGGCCATCATCATGATCGCACACGTCCACGCGCTGGCTGTGTCGGCCGCGGCAGCCTTTGGTCCGCAGGTGCTCATGCTCCTCCGCTCACGCTCACAAAGTCACAATCCGGCCGGCTCACGCTCACGCCCCTCGCTCACACAAGGTGCTGGGCGACTCGCTCACGCTCCTCGACGGGGAGGAGGACGAGGCGCCTGAGCTTCGCTTGAGTGTCCACGAGCATTGCCCCACACTCGCCCGCCCTGCGCCGCAGGAACCGTATGGTCTCTTTGTCAATGGAGCCTTCGGGCTCTCTCCAGCGGCAGAGATGGCTAACGGCGCGAGAAGTCAGCGGTCTCCTTCGAGCACTCACACCTAGACCCGCCTTCTGGCACTGGAGAGACCTTTGACTCCGCCGCCCATTCCTCCCCTCTGTCCTGGAGCGACAGCCGATCCCCTCCAGGCCGCCTCGCGATGCTCGGCATCATCGCCGTTGTGATCACTTCGGCTATCTCCGGCAAAGACATCCTCGAAGTGGTCGACATCGGTCCGCTTCCGCCGCTCGCACAAGCCGCAAAGGCTACACGGCCCCAAACAGCCAAAACCACAACCCGAGACGGCGCCCACCCTAGGCACCGGCGGCAACCTCCTCACGCACCCCATGTTCTGAGACTGACGGTCGACCCCGACCTTCGACGCACCCCGACCTTCGAGCGCGGGCAGCGTGGTCGTGCGAGCAGCACCTCGCTGGCCATGTACTGTATGATCATTGTGTGTGTGTGTGTGTGTGTGTGTGTGTGTGTGTGTGTGTGTGTGTGCGTGCGTGTGTGTGTGTGTGCCGCCGGCCGGCGAAGGAGTTGTATGAGTGCTTTGCCGTGAGACGGAAATCTCTCGCAAAGACTGCGTATACAGAAAGTTTTGTATTTTCTTGTATTTTTTGTATTTTCATCTAGACCGTTTAAATAATCTTTGCCGGAGACAGTCCCGTGCCGAGTGTTGTGCGAGAGGGAGCCAGGGTGCAGGGACCGTCGTAAAAATTGTGCAAATTCTTTTTGGTACCTGTGTCGACCTGTTCGGATCTGGCGAGTAGAGACCACGCCTGCTATTCACAGCACAAGCTTTGCCTGGGTGGCGGCTTCAGCATGTGCAGCGAAAAGCAGACCACGCCTCACTTTTTCACAGGGGGGATCCTTTTCCAGACGGAACCCCCCCCCCTGTGAAGGACGTATTTTCTTGTCAATAACAAGGTCTGTGAACAGCGCCATAGGACGTTTTTTCTTCTCAATAACAAGGCTGTGAGAATGTTGTGGCTGGGCGTGCGTTGGGGTTGCCCGAAATTTTCTTTGTTGGGCGCCGAAAAAAGAGAATTTGCCCCGGTGTCTGTGAGACCGATGTAGCTTGTTTCAAGGCTTGTAGGAAAGATTAGGAACTAGCCGCCGGATTAACTGGGGCGTCGGACGTAATTGGGGCTCGGCTCGTTAAATTCTTTTCGCCTCGCCGCCCTCGCGGGAGTCGCTTAGGCGGCTCCCGTAGTTACCCGTGTTAGTGCCAGTGCGCGAGAGTCGCGTTTATGCCGTGCGAGGGAGCTTCGTGGTAAAAGAAAGAAAGAAAGAAAACAGACAACCCAAGGGAGGGATGGCGTGCGCGCTGCAAATTCTTTTTCGCAAATTCTTTTTCGCGCGAGACTCTTTCGGGAATCCTGCCTCGCCCCCCTCCGAGCTCCGTGCCCTTCGCGCGCGCCGGCAGGATTGCTGTTGAGTGGTGCGCCTCTTGCGAGCTCGTATCGAATGGCTGCGGGCCTTGACCTTGATGCACTGCAGAAAGCGGTTGACGGTCTGCGTGAGGAGAAAGCTAGCATCGACCGGGATCGCCAGCTGCTAGCGTCGCAGACGCAAATCGTGGCGGAAAACCTTGAGCGGTTCAAGGGGCGAATCAAGCTCAACGTTGGCGGCATGAAATTTGAGACAACCCTCAGCACGTTGGCGACACCCCGACTCCATGCTCGGTACAATGTTCAGCGGACGCGAAGGCATTGAAGTGCCCGTCGACGAGGAAGGGTATGTGTTCATCGACCGCGACGGCACCCACTTCCGAGTCATCCTGAACTTCTTGCGCTCTGGTAACATCACATTCCCAAAAGATTCCGTAGAGGCGGAGCTCTGTGGGACGAGCTGCAATTTTACATGCTCGAAGCCTACGTGTGTAATGCCCTGTGTTTCCGCGAGTGCGTGTGCCCCGTCGTCCATGCTAGGACGTGTGTAACACTGACTGACTGACTGAAGCCTACGTAACTGAGAAGCGTACTACGACACACACGAGCAACGACAGTTCGCAGCTTGTGGTGACGCATGCCTCTTCTGCCGGTAAATTGACCTCGGCAGAAGCAGATTCACATGCAAAGCGAGTCCAGAGCCTGCTGTCAGCAAACCCTCGCCTCAAAATTCAAGGACTCACCTCTTCTGGATATGCTAATATGGCTTCGGTCGCTACCTTGCTAGCTCCTTAGATGAGAGATGCGCGACACCGCATGAGCGCAATGCTGCAGAGAGCCAGTGCTGACATATGTTGCAGATTAGATAGAGGCGGCTTTTTATGTTTGTAATTGTAAAAAGGAGAGGGCAAGAATTTCGTCAGGGAGGGGGAACTGGAAACGAATCGGAAAGGAATCGGAACCCGGAAACCATGAGCAAGAACGTCGAATATAGGAACGAGATGGATATGGACGTCTGATCGGAACGCAATCGCAGTTCGCGAGGGCCTGCCGAGGGTCGGGAAACTTTTGATATGCTGGTTCGAATGGTTGGGTAGTAGGGCTAGAGGGTCGCTCTACACTTAGCCTCTGCAGCGAGCGAGCGCTCAACTTAGCCCCCGCACGGAGCCGGGCTCAGACTTAGACGCTGTATGGTCGCTTGGTCGGGGGCCATGAACTTAGACGACACAAGGCCAACTCCGGGTAAAACTGGGATCTCCCACTCGCGCTGCCCCAAACCTAAATCGTCTCTACAGTTACATACATACCTGCAAAAGTCCACAAAGAAAGAAAGAAAACAGACAACCCAAGGGAGGGATGGGAGGACGGCACGCCGCCACCACACAGGGATTTTAAGGAGAGGTGTGTGGTGCGCTAGCCGTCGCCCACCCTAGGGAGTCTGCCTCTTCCTATCTCTCTTCGCAGTCTCTCGCCGCTTCTCGCTGCAATCTTCATGCCACCTCGCGGTCGTCCCACTCTCGTCGTTCTCTCCCTTGTCATTTCCTCCTCTGTCGCGTCGTTCTCTTCTGCCTCGTCCTGTGACGCCGCCGCCTGCCGGTCCCTTGTTCTCGCGGCTTCTTTCGCCTTTCGGCGCAACTCCGTCCTCCTCGCGGCGTATCCTGGCCCCTCGAGTCTATCGAGCTCCCCTCGCGCAAGGACCACATTTCTGACTCCCACTCCGATCATTTGCCTCCAAGTCATGTTGTTGCTCAGGTCCACTCTCTCTTCGAACACTCGTGCCTCTACGGATGATGCCGGCGCTGGGGTCCCCTTCGGATGCATCGTGACATCTGACAACTGGATTTCCACTGGTTCGTCCTCCTCGGAGTCATCTTCCCCGTCCTCCTTCCGCTCGGCTCTCCGCTCGGTACGTTCGGCGTGGCTCACCCTCCATGCCGTGAACAGGCGCTTTATCCACCCTATATTCTTCTCTCGTTCCTCTGCCCGTGCCTTGGTCTTGTCGTTGTTTCGCACCCATGTCTGTATGGCCATCGAGGCTGCCTTCCCCACTACCTGTAGTTCACTCGTCACCTCTCCCGCGAGCTCCCTTCTCTTTCTTTCGGGTATGGAGTCCGTGAGTGCGGGCAGCGTGCAGGCAATCACGGGCGCTATTTTGTCGTACTCCTCTTCGGCGAGCGCTCCAAATCTAGACCCTTTCGCCTTTAAGGAGGCTGCCCTCGCTCGTCTCAGGAATGTGGCGGTGTCTTTTGAGTCCGGCGCCTCCCGTTCAACTCTTGCTGTCGCCCTCGCTGTGTGTTTGTCGAGCTTCCGCATGAAGTGACGCGCCTCTTCCTTATTTCCAGCGCAGCTGCCGCTCAGTATGTGCGCCAACGACGCCTGTGGTGGCTCACTGTCTTCTTGTTTCCAGTCGTCCCAGTCTTTCAGTTCCCCGCGTCTCCTCCTTGCCTCGCGCGCCTCTTTTGTGGCCTCATCCCTAGCCGCTTTGCACGCTCTGCATCCCCAGAACGCACTTCTCGTGGCGGGGCCCCTCATTCCCCGTTTCTTTTCCCCCTCTAGAATACGCCTGTGGTGTGCCCCGTGTGGCACCCCGACCTGTTGTCTCACCCTGGCCCCCAAGATCGTTTTGGTCGTCACATTGTGATCCCCAACGTCGTCAAATGTCGCCCGCCTGTCCTTCCCCCCGTTCTCGTCCGGTAATCTCATCTTATTATCCCATCGATGCTTGAGGCTGGCTACTGCCACTTCGCTCCACAACCGTCCCGCCACCCCTGCCGTGTGCGATCCCGGCCTCACTGTCTTTCGATATTGCTCGCACACCCACTCGTGCGCGCTCTTACACATGTGTCCGTACGTCCGTCGGTCCACTATCTCCCTCTTCTCTGCGTTCTCTGCCGCCTCCCTTCGCACCGTGTACATGCATGGCCGCGTCCGCACCGCGTCCCGCACCACTTTCGAGGCGTCCTCTGAGTCGTTATCCCCGAGGTGTGCTGTCGCCACCGCGTCGGCGTATGCGTTGCAGGCTACTCCCACGTGTGCTGGCACCCACATGAAGACCACCGCCTCTAGCTTCGATCTATAGTAAGCGATCGCCTCCAGGAGCCCGCCTCTCTCCCAGTCCCTCAGGCCTTCTGGCATCCCTTTGCGGTGCGCATTCTCAATCTGCTGCAGCGCGGGTTTGCAGTCGCATAGCACTAAGCACCGCCGCGATTGCGCATCGCTCGCGCTCGCCATTTTGCGTAAGTATGCGAGTATCGCGTACATCTCCGCGTCCATCGGCTCCCACATGTTCGGCAGCTTTCCTCCCCACATTCCCGCCCCAAACGCTGTCCGTATCTCCCCTTCTTCACAGGGTCCGATTCCGTTGGGATCCTTTACCTGTGTGTCTCCCGGGACGCTCTTTCCGAATCGTGTCGGTCCTTCGAACACGCCGTACGCCACCCTAGGGTTCGGCACGTGCTTTCCATCCTCCGCCATTTTGTCTTCATGGTCCTTTCCTCCGTCCGTCGCTGCAAAGTGTGTGAACTGGTGTGAGACGTGCAACGCGAGGCATGTCTGCGCTACTTTCACGTTCAGGGCTCGTCCCTTCCCCGACCGCAGCGGCTCGCTGTCTTTTCCCATCTTAATTCGCTTCCCGTTGCCGTCCGTCAGCTCTCCCCCCGTCTCAAATTCGTCGTATCGGAGCAAGAAGCGCGTTAGGGGGTCCTCCTGTAGCTCCCCTACTCTGATCGCGCTCGCCCCGTATCCGTGTCCCACAAACAGCTCGTAGTCTTCTTTCTGCCAGTTTATGTGTCTCTGGGGCGCCCCCTCTGGGAACAACGTCTCATCCGCCCCGAGGCTCCCCTCCTGTCGCTCCCTCTCCTGTCTCTCCATCATCTTTCTCACCGCGTCCTTCGTGATCTTATTTTGCTCGGGTATCTCCTCCTCCCATGTCGCGTTCGTATCAAGGCCCGGGGTCCCCTCCAGCTTTATCACTCGATTGTCCCCGTCCTCTCTCGACCCCAGGTGCGTGCCGCTGTCTTGCCCGGTTTCTTCCCTCCGAGGTAGAGTCCTGGCCTTCCCCTCCACTCGGATGTCCGTCCTGGTTCGCCCTTCTTCGAACGTGTGTTCTGTCATGTTGGGTCCGCTCGTGCACACCCCGTTTGCCTCCCTGCTGTATTCAATGAATCGATCGAGCACGTCGCTCCACGACGGAGCATTACTCTTTCCATCGCACGTCTCTAGTGCTCTGTCCGCTTGCGCTGCCTCCGGCCCCGATCTACCTAGTCTTCTGCGGTGTTCTAGCCACTCTCGGAAGGACGCCGCTTGCCGTCTCACGCCTTGCGCGTGCATTAGCTCCCGCTCCCATGTGTGGGGCATCTTATCGTGCCACACCCAGCTGTCGCTCTGCTCGCCTTCCCATTCGCAGAGGTACTCCCATCCGTGTTTGTCATCCTCCGTGCCTCCCCCGTAGCAGGTCGGTGCCTTCCTTGCCGCCTTCACCTTCCGCACCCTATCGGGCGCCCTCCGTTCCGTCTTCTGTCCGTGTGCGCGCTCTTCTATGGCCGCCCACTTCCAGTATTGTCGCAGCTGCGCCCACTCTGGTCGCTCCAGCTGCTCCGCCAGCCTCTTGTATTCGCTATGTTCCGTCGTGTTGTCTTTGAGGCCATAGACTCGCTTCATTTGCGGCCACGTCAACACTTCCCCGGTGCCCCATTCTGACACGTCCGACCATGTCGCTATCCCGTGCTTGGCTAGGTTACGTGCAAAGTCACACGCGAGGCCTTGGTTATTCCAGCCATGACTCCTTGTCTCAAAGAGGAGCGGGCCCAATACTCTCTTTCGGCTCTCGGTCGTTCTCCACGCCTCGGGTCTGAGCGGCCCCTTCTTGCTCTCTTCCCACCCTGCTGTCGTGACCGTCTCCACCCCACACCTCCATTTTGCCTTTAGATATCAATGCTTCGATCATTAGTTCGTCCGAGAGCTCCTTTTCCCAGTCCCAGCTCGGCTTCCACTCCAGCGGGTTGTCACTTCGGCATCCCAGCCTCCTCAAAGTGTGCGCTAGGCTGCTCTCCACGGCCACCCTCGCTGGTTCCCCTTCCACCGCGCTGAGGGCCCGGTCCACTTGATCGATCAGCGCCGCCGCTGCGTACGTGTACGCGTGTTCCATTCCCATCCCTCCTCTCTCTTTCACATCGTATATTTGTAGTCGCGGGATTCCTACCGAGTACCCTTTTGCGTTTAGGGCGCTCGCCCTCACTTGTTCGATGCTCTGGCAGTCTTCCCATGTGATGACCGTGGACCGGCCGTAGTAGCCGATAATGCCGCTCAGTGCTAGCGCCATGTTGCGACGGATCTGCTCTCCTGTCAAGTGTGGCAGGTTGCCTATGATCCAGATTACTCTCTTGCAGTCCGCTACGCACCGCTCCCTCATTTCCGTCTGGCCCTCGCCGTTTGCCCACCCGGTCCTTAGCTCCGTTCCGAGGTATTTGTAGCTCTCGTCTCCCTTCAGCTGTGGTATCGGCATGCCGTCCGGCATCCTCATTTCGTAGCCCTCGACATCCCGCTCTTCGTTGTTCTCCCAGTACGTCGCTGACCATGCCGATTTCTTCTTCTTTTTGACCTGGAGGCTATTGCCACAGATCTTTGTCACTAACCAAGCACACTCTAGCGCGAGCTGCATCGTGGCTATGTCGTTGCTGAGGAACAGGCCGTCGTCGGCATACACCAGCTGCGGCACGCTCTCCCCCGCCGCTGTAAATTCAAATCCTCTGCATAGCTTGCTGACTGTTCGCTGCATCACGGCCAGCATGAGCTTGCTGCGTGCGGGCGAAAGGAGGCACCCTTGGCCGAGGCCTTGCTCGATGGGGAATCGGTCGCTCAGTCCATAGCCCGTCTCGTACCTACCTTGGAGTGAGGGTAGCTCTTCCCCAAGTCCTTCTCTGAGCGCTCTCATCACAGTTGTCACGTCGGGCGGTACCCCTGCCCATTGTTCCACCTTCCATTGCACTTCGTGTACTACACTCATGAAGTAGGTCCCGAGATCGATGTATCCTCTCACGCACATCTTTCTCTCTATCATGCACTCTTCTGCGTGCAGGCGTGCGGTGAGTGTCTGCGCTGGCGCGTTCTTTCCGGCTGTGAAGCCGCATTGCGAGCCGGGGACCACTCTCGCGCACGCTCTATCGTATTCGGGTAGGAGCATTCGCATGAGACCTTTTAACGACTGTGGCTGGACCCAGAGGTCGCGCCTTCGTTCGAGCTCCTTCGGGTCCTCCCCCGGCTTCATTGCTAGCATCGCAATCCAGTCATTCCATTCCCGCGGAAACGCTTCTGTCTCGACGATCTCTACCAGCAGACGCCAGTAGTCTTTTTGGATGTCCTCCGTTGCTATGCGCAGTAAGTATCCGTCGAGTAGGTCCGAGCCGACCGCCTTGCCCTTTTTGAATCGTCTTATGGCCTTCTCGCACGCCGCCCACGTGAGTACCTCCTCCTTCAATCGTTCCGTCCCCTCGCTCGATGTGGGTTGTCCCCCCGTCTCGGGTTGGGTCAGTTCTAGCAGCTCCTCTACCGCCTTCATATCGACCTCTCGCCTCTTATTGATCTCCATCCCCCTTTCCGCTGCCGCCTTTCGGATTGCCCCCCCTCGGACAACCTTTCGCTTCTTCACCTTCTGCTTGGTTCTCGGGCATGTCACCTCTTCTTCTCCCTCGACGTACATTGCTCTGAGCTCCCCCCCCCTCGCCTTCCTTCCTGACTCGGTGTGTACGATGTCGAATACCGCGATGTGTACGTTGCCGTGCAGTTCAACGACCACTTCTTCCATCTTCTCCGTCAATTTCTGTCCCCTCTCCGCCTCACAGTCAAGGAACTCGGAGGTCGCCTTCCCGATCTGCGTCTCACACTCCTCTAGTAGCGCTTTCCGTCTGTCGCTGTTGGAGAGGTCCGGCGTGTCAATCGTCTGTAGATGGCTGCTGAGGCATTCCTGTGTCCAGAATCCCTTCCCCCCCCACTTCCTTGTGTAGGCCGTTTTCAACGTTCCGCTCCATTTCCGAACCGCGTGCGTGATCCGTCTCCACTTTGCTATCTTCCATCGCAGTCTCTCCCTCTGTGACATGGGGGGGCGTCCCCGTCGTTGAGTGTCTTGCTGCCCGCTTCCCTCTTGGTCGCCCCTATCCTCGTCCGTCCCGTCGGGCTGCCCGCCCTTATCCCCTTCCTTTTCTAGTCGCAACTTGTCCTGCGCCTCTTTTATCACGGTATTGGCGTGGTCTGTGAGCGCCTTTGTCATTGCTTTCAGCCTCTCTGCCGGGGTCGCGTCTTGTTGCGTTTGTATCGCTGTGTCGTAGGCTTCCTGCACGGTCTTCGTGAACGCCTCTTCGGCGTCTCGGTCCAACTTCCGGCTGACTCCTTTCGGTCGGTATTCCCGCTCTCCTTCTGGGTCGTCCGCCCCATAGTATTCGACCGCCACGATCTCATGGTCTTTCCCGCATACGCCTGGCATGGTGTGTACGCGCCCCATCACATTCGCTAGCGCCGGGGTGACTATCCAGTTGTCAATTTGCGTGCCCGTCCGGTACGTTGCGTCGTTCGCCATCGCTCTCAAGTCTCGCCCCACTTCGGTCAGCATCCTGTTGAACATCCTGTCCGAGAGAGTCCGTTCCTTTTTGCCTCTGCCTCGTAGGAAGGCTTCCGTCTCGGCGTTGAAGTCCCCACCGATCATATATTCTCCATGGACTTTGTCTAGCTCGTCACTTAAACTCTCCCACGCGTCTTGCGCGGGGTCCTTGGTCTCTGTGTCGCCCGTCCCTCCGCTCGCCGCAACCGTTATCTTAGCCTGCCCCCTCACTGGCATGTAGACTCCTATCTGTGTCCATTCCAGCCCGCTTGCCACGTCCTCCATCTCCACCCTCACGACGCGACCTCTCACCACCTCCTCCCTGGCCACTTCTCCCTTCCCGTCTCTCTTTGCTTGCAGGTGGTCCGGGTCCCACACAATCAGCACCCCCGCTTTGAGCGCGCGCGCGGCCGGGTCTTTGTAAGCTGGGGTCCCGCACGCCTCTATCCCCTGCGTCTCTAGATATTCTATCACTTCGCGCATTTCTTCCTCGCCTAGGTGCGTGTCCGCCAGCGTGGCGAGCCACACCCCTCCTTCTTTTATGTACCTGATGATTTCCGCCAGCTTCTTTGTTGCCTCCCGTCCCGTGTTGCGGATCGGTGCGCTCCCCCTCTCCCTTAGTTCCCGGATCTCCTCCATCGCCCCCTCTATGCTCTCGAGGCCCCCGCCGCATACGTTGAGGGTGGCGAAGTGGGCTTGTTCGTGCCCCTTCTTCCCGGTTGCCCTTTTCTGTTTGCCCTTGCTCATTCCGTTTCCGTGCAGTGCTTTCATGAGCGCGTTCCACTCGGTGATGGGAATGTGCCACGTGTAGGCCGCGGGTATCCCCAGGTGCGCTAAGTCCTCATCGATGAGGGGCCTCATTCCCAGGCGTTGCGCCCGCGTGTCGGCCCTCTCGAGCGGGCTCAAGATGGGTTCGGCTGCGGGTACCCCGTAGAAGGCTAGGTCGGGGTCTAGCTTCCCTCGCTCCTTCCGCCGCGCATTCCGTCGGTGTCGCTTCCACGCCCACACCCTTCTCTTTCTTGCGCGGATCGGGAGGGCGGCGACCTCTGCCCCCGTCCACGCTTCGCATCCCCTTGGCGCTGGGCGCCGGGTACGGCGTTTTCTTTTTCGAGCGCGCCGTCTGGCTTTTTCGCTTCTTTTCTCTCTGCGGGGGGGGTCCTCCGGTTTTGCTCTGCTGCAGCTGTTAGGCGCCTCTGCGGCTGGTGGTGCTGCTCCTGTCACTATTTCACTGTGTCGTGGGGCCGGCGTGCGCGGTGGCCTTCCTCGGCCCTTCCTCACGTGACGCACGGCGAGGGCGGCACTCGCCACGGCTGCGAGCGCCCACCCTATCCACCACCTCACTCCGCACAGATCCGCAGTAATGACAGCAAACAATTAAATAAAATCCACCGTATATGAGGCGGTGAATCTCCGTCGCTGCGGACCTCGACATCCGTCGTGTCGCGTGCGTTCGCCTCCCCGTTACGCGTCGGCTGGTCCCTGGTTCGGGACCCTGGGGGGGAGGGGGGGGCCTCCTCGGCCTCCTCGGCCTCCTCGGCAGCTTCGACAGCCTCGACAGCCTCGACAGCCTCGACTGCTTGACGCACGCGACTCGCGCGGCACCCGTCGTTTTGCTCGCCGGGCGGCCCCCACGCCGCCCCGTCTCGCGCTTCCTCGCGTGCTCGGGCCTCGGCGGGCAGCGCCTCGGCTGGTGCTCTCCTTCTCGCTGAATGTGCTGCAGTTTTGCGCACATGGTCTGGCTGCACGGTTCGTTGCTCCCGGGGACCAGAGACCGGTGGTGACCCACCGGTTCGGTACGACCCGCAGCCTACTCCTACTACCGCGCGCGCGCGCGCGCGCGCGCGCACGCGCGGGCCGCCGCGGGCACGGGCGGGGCGAGCGAGCGCACCATTGTCTCGGTTGGTCGTACGGCGCCTGGAGGACCTTTGTCGCGTCGGCAAATAGAATTGAAATTCTTTTTGCCTTTCCTTGCTTCTTCGAGCAACGATATGGCCCAGCAAATCGCGGTCGTACTTTTACTCGGCCTGCCCTCTTTGCCTAGCCTCAGCCTACACCGTTCGTTCTCAGCATGTGCACCGCGCTGCGCCGTGCGGCTGTTCCCAAAAGGCGATGGGAAGAAGCGGCGGCCAAAGGCTCTCCCGCCGGCAGCGCCTGGCCCGCCGCCGTCCCCGCCTGCCACACCAGGCCGGGTGAGCGGAGACTCTCTATTGTCCGCTCGGAAGCAGATTGCGCTTGTGCGCGCCTACCGCGCTCGGCAGAGGACCGGCGTCCGGCCTCCAAAGGAGCGCACCAGCTTCCGGAGAAAGTCAAACGGCGCGGACGCCGCTGCAGAGGCTGCCTCAAGTGAGCTTGGCGAGCTGCCGCGGGGCAAGTACAACACCACGGCCGTCCCATTACTGCTCGTTGACGGCTACAACGTCATCGGCTATTGGGCCCGGCTGAAGAAGCGTCGTGACCGCGACGATATGGAGGGCGCTCGCAGGCGCTGCTAGACACGGGGGATAGCCCAGTCTGCGCCGCACAACGGCGGGTGGAGCGCTCCGCCTAACCTCACCTTGCCTTCGCTCGACAGGCTGCTGCTGGACGACTTGGTCGAGTACAACTCGCCCAAGCGGTACGACATTGTCGTCGTGTTCGACTCGGCGGGCACCGGCTCGCGCAGTGATCACGTCGAGTCATATCTCGGCCTCGGCGTCGTCTTCACGCCATCTGCGGATCTCTACATTGAGCAGGAGCTGCGCAGGATCGCGGCCGAGGGGCAGCGGCCTGTATGGGCCGCCACGGCGGACCGCGCGATCCAGGTCGCCGCGACCAACTACGGAGCCAATGTCATGTCGACGAAGCGGCTCGTCGAGGAGCTCAAGGGCAGCCGCGCCGCCTCGGCCACCCTGGTGGGCGAGTGGAACCGGCAGGAGAGCTCGCGGCGCCCCGTCTTCCTGGAGGACCAGGTGGGGGCGGTGCAGAGAGGAGTGCTCTCCGGCAGCTTGCAGGGCAAGCTGACGCAGCGCGAGCGCAAGGCGCTGGAGCGAGGGGTGGAGTAGCGGGCGGCGGAGCTCATCGCGCAGCGATCGGGAGAGAGGTCGCGGACGAGAGGGTCATACCTGCCCCCACCTTCGGGCCACCGGGACGCGGGGCGGGCGTCGAGACAGCGCTTCCGGCGTCGGCAAGAGCGTCGGCAAGAGCTGGGCCCCGCGGCTGGAGCGCAGCAGGCGGCAAGGGGCCGGAGCCGCAGCTTGCTGTGGCGGTCCAGCAGCTTGCTTGCTGAGCCGGTGCTGTGGTGTGCCCCCTCTCCGCGATCAGGAGAGCACGGGCTTGATCCACCGCTCCTTGGTGTTCAAATGGATCGACCCTCGCTTGGCGACACACGCCGCCCCTCGCGTTCCTGACAACGCCTTGCTACGCCGCAGCACCCTTCTCCCGCGCCGCCGGTAGGGCTACCCGCCGTTGTACAACAGTTGGGAGCCGGCGGCGCACGTGCCCGCAGCGCATACTCCGAGCGCGTGCTCTCCCCCAGCCGCGGCTCGCCGTTTCGGACGGCGTCACCGGAGCGGCGGCCTCGCTGCAAGAACGAGGAGGCGCGGCCGTGCCCACGTTGCTAGTGCCGTCCACCTTCATTTTGGGGCCGCGCGAGCCGCCAGAGGCGCCGCCGGCAGCTCTTCCCACCTGCTGGGCTGGCATCCTCCTCCATCGCACACGAGCCGCTCGTGTGCGATGTTACGTGATGTTCCCTCACAGCCACTGGCGCAAAATGTCGTATTTATACGGCGAATTCGAGGCAGAATTAAACGGCTCTCATTTCGGTGTTTACGTTCGTGCGTATAATATCCTCTTTTTGTACCACACATTCACACGGCTCTGCTTGCACTGTGCACACTGCTGGGAGTGCGCTGCCACGCCTGCACCTCTGCCCGCTCCTGGCCATTCTCTCCCTTCATGCCACAAACGAGAAAAAAAGCGTGGATCTCCTCCCGAGTCGCACACGTAACTGCATTTCCACACGCCAGCGGCCACTGTGCGCGACCCCGCCCCACGCCCCACGCTCAGGACCCTTTTTCGCAGCGGGGGGAAGAGGGCTCAACCTTGTGACGCGCTGACGCCGCTGAAGCGCGTCCGAGCCTTCGGCTGTCGACCTGGCAGGCCAATGCCCCTGCCGATCAAAGAAGCCCGCCCACACACCCCTGAACAAAGCGCTCGCGGTCGCGCCGCGCCGCTGCGCTCCACTCACAAGTCAGAAAAGATATCGAACTCCGCGTTTGACCGCCGATGCGCCAACTTCGAAGCGTACATGGCTCGCCCCAGATGGCCGTTGTTGGTCGGTGGCCGCGGCCTCGCTGGGATGACGCCCTTGTGGCGTTTGGCTTTGGGGCTGATGTGGTTGGTCGAGAGCAGCGCATTGACCTCTGCCAACCTCGCCAGCGCGCGCGCCTCGGCATCTCGCGCCCGTGACTCACGAATCTCGGCAGCCAGGGTCGCCGAACGTGCTCGCGTCTCGGCCAGGCGTGCCACCTCGTCTGCCTGGGCCTTGGCTGCCACGACCGCCGCAGCTGCCGCCTCATCTTCCGCGATCTTGTCAACCCGCCGTTTCGACCCGCGCTCCGCAGCGTCGAGAACATGAGTCAGGCGTGTGACGCAGTCGCGGCAGTCGCCACGAAGGGCGTGCAGCGCGTGGTCGCTCGCGGCGAAGTCAAAGCCGCTGACGTCCATCTCCTTTGCGTGCTCGCTCGCAGCGAGCACGTCGTCGCTGGGAGCAGCCAGAAGCAAGAGCGGCACGTCGAGAAGCTCCCGGCAAGCCTTCTGCCGCTCTGCACGCAGGCAGGCATTGGCTCGCACGACCTGGAGGCGACTCGCACGCTGCCGCATCTCAGCCGCGACCGCATCGCGGAGGCAACGAGCGAGCCGCACGCGGCCTTCACGCCGTCGAACAGCTGTCCGCGCCATGATTGCCGCCGAGATCATGGCGCAGTCTTCACTCAGCGACGCGGCGGGTGCTGTGGGCACAGCCGCCGTAGTGGTAGCTGGCGAGCGCGGTCGCGCTGCGTCGCCCCCTCCACCGTTCGAGAGCGGCCGGCGCCGGAGCCACGAGAGACCGAGCATTTTTCGACTTCCTCGACGGCAGAGTGGCGACGGCGTCTCGACCTCATCTTTCTTTTGTGTGTTTGGTGGTCCGCGTAGTCGTCTCGCGTAGAACGGGTGCGAGATGCATGTAGGGAGTATTCGCAAAGAGGAGCCCCGCGCACGCACGACTCCGCAGGAGAAACCCCTCCCCACCCGCCTACTCTGTGAATACGTATTCCACGTATTCCAAATGACCTCCAAAAGGGCCGTATTCCGTAACCCCCCCCCCCCCCAAATCTTCTGCACTCACTTTTTAGATACATAAAATTGCAGTTTTAGGCCGTATTCCACACACGTATTCCGGAATACGTATTCCAAACGAGGCCCCAAAATGGAGGTATTCCGTATAAAATTTTTTCGCTCCGCGAATTCACAGAGATCAGAGTAGGCCCCCCAGACAAAACAGAAGGGAGAGGTGGGTGGGTCACAGAAAGACTGCGGCCGCCAGCAACTGAGCGTCCTCGCTGGCGGACGGGGAGAACACAACGAAGGGACGTCCGAAACGCAACACAAGAAGGGACGCACGCACGTGTCCATCACCGGGATGAGATCGGGAGATTTACACATATCAGCCGAATATCTCCCGCTGGCATGTTTAATTTATCGCCGATCTGCAGCGGTGTTAGAACCTCGCGACTGGCTAGGCCGCCCATCGGAGCGCCGCCTCGCCGGGGTCTCGGCTCTGACGAGCCATGCTAGCTCCGGCCGCAGCCCCGCCCACAGCCGCCCTTGGTTCGTCCCCTCAGTATAGAGTCGAGAAGACACTAATCCTGGGGGAAGCAACCCTGGCGAGGCGGTCCTGCCGCGTGGCGAGCGGTCACACCGAGCTCCGGCTAACCGAGAGGGCGAGACGGGCCTGGTCGGTACAGCGTGAACAAAAGCGGGGAGGTTGGAATTCTTCTGCGTGAGCTCTATACCTAGCACCCTATGACCCTCCACAAGGAGTTCCGGCCTGCTAAACCACTGGGACAAGGCTCGCGATGGCGAACCAGCAGATAACCGCCGTGCCTGCCTGTCGATCCACGACCCGCAACTTGGCGGTCTGGTCGCCGGTGTCGACCGCCTGCACCGTGCCCGTCTTGCCGGCGCACCTCTCCCGCACACTGTCCTTGTCGAGGTCTATGGCGAGGCCCGCCGCGCGAGAGGAACGGTGCAACGCGGCGGCATCGCGGCACACCCGCACCTGCCCCCCCTCCGCGAGAGCAGCCGGGTCCCAAATCGCGTCGGACCCGTACCAGATTTCGGCGGCCCGGCCTGGCGACACCATCACCCGCACCTTGACCGATCGGTCACGCGAGTCGACCGCCGAAACCACGCCAAGCGTGCCTGCGAAGCGAGCACGAATCTCGTCCTTGTCGGTGCTGAACATGCTCGCGCGTGAGGCGCGCGAGATCTCCGCCACGTCGGCCGCGATCCAGCAGTCCACGCCGGGCCGCGGGAACGGTTTCTTCGCCGGCCGCTGCTGCTGGCCCTGGCCGCCGAACCCAAAGTCTGCTCCAAACCCATTCTGCCGCATGAACTCGCGTATCATAGCCTCCTGCGCGGCCTGGCTCGGGCCGCCCCCGCCCATGCCGCCGCCGCCAACAGTGCCAGTCAGGTCGAACTCGCGGCGCTTCTCCGGGTCCTTTAAGATCTCGTAAGCCTGTCCAACCGCCTGAAACTCCTCGTCGCCGCCGTTATTCCTGTCGGGGTGCAGTGCCGTCGCCTTTTTGCGGAAGGCCTTTTTGATCTCGTCGGCGGAGGCATCCGGGCTCACGCCAAGTGCCGCGTATGGGTTTGGCACCTCAGCGCCTGGCGCGCGGAACTGCATGCTGACCGCAGACTGGCGGCTGGAACTGCATGCCCATGGAGCTCTCGGCGTCGCTGACCGGCGGCTGGCGGGCGTTAGCCAGAGTACAGGCGCAACGGCTCCAAGGGCCAGCAGCTTCATGAAGGACGCCACGAACCGTCGTAGCTCACCTCTCTCCAAGCTCTCCTCGCCCCGCGCCCGCGAGGCCGCGAGGCGCGACGATGCCGAGAGAATTTTTTGTTCACGCCTCGCACGACACGTCTCCCATCCCTCCCTTGCGCCTCAGCTCGCAAACACTCACCCATTTGATTGTCACTGTCCGTGAGTGCGAGATTAGGGCTAGCCGCAGGCAGCTAGCCCATGAGGAGGGCGTCCATAGACACCTCACTAGACCCCACATACGGTCTCGTCCGTGCCTCGCCGGCCGGCCGGAGAGATTGCTAGAGGTGGAGCATGCTGCTCTAGCCTCACATGTCACTTCCTGTCGTCTGTTGTTTGTTGTGCCCTTGTTTGTTTCTCTTGGCACCTTGGAGTGCTGGGGGGGGCGACAGGGAGGATGTGGCCTTGAGTTATGTGTACGCCAAAACTCAGGGTGTGTGGCAGCCAGCTGGCTGTGTGTCTTGTGAGCTTGTTTGTGTCTGTGTGTCGCTCGTGCGTGTCGTCATCATCTGTCCAGCGTCCACCCATACCGCGTTGGTGTCCAGTCCGAGCCTGGCTGTTCTTCACCTTTCTACCTACCTACCTACCTGGGTTATCTCTTTTCTTTCTTTCTTTCTTCTTTACAGGGGACCCTGTCCTCGTCCCATCCCTCGTTTGGATTACGGGCGCGCTCTGGCACTTTGCGTCCGAACAAGCACGTGCACCACACGCTCCACGGGAGCCGCCTCTCTCGGCTACGGGACCGGCCCCAGCTTCGGCTGAGGGCTGACAAGCTGCCGAGCCCAAATCACTGTGGGAGTCGTGATTTCTTGTTGGTTTTCTAAAATCTCTCTCTAACGTCTAAGCACTAAGGCTAAGCGACTCCCGCGCGGGCCGAGAAAGGAAAAGATTCGGGCAGCGGCTCCCCGGCCCTGCCCCTGGATGGGTGGTGGTTGCTGACCGCACTTATGCTCTAAAAAGAGACGAGATAGTATGGAGAGTAAGGTCTCGCGGGGGGAAGCACAGAGGTCGCGGAAGAGGGACGGCGATTGTCGCTCTCCGCCAGCACACACATGGGCATGCTTGCGCCTTTGGAAAAGAAAAGAACCCGCTTCCCAACACGAGAACACCTCATCCCTCCCAGTCCTGGCCGATGGCCTCCACGTTGCGCGCGAAACCAGCCTCGTTCGCGCGTACGAGCGACGCCGCCAGCGCCTGTAGGACGGCGCGGCGGCGCGGCAGCTCGAGCATCAGCCCCTGGCCGGCCTCGCGCATCGAGACCAGGACGGCGTAGGCGGAGGCAGCCCACTCGGCGGAGGCGGCGCTCGTGCGGACGAGAGCCGTGCCCGCGGCGCACGAGGGGCGGACGCTCGCATCGAGCGCCCAGAGGTAGGCGCTGAAGGCGGTTTCGTGCGCTGCGCTCTCCGCGCAGCGCAGGGACGAGGGCATCCAACGCGTCCGCCGCTGCCGGGATGTGCAGGCGCCGCATCTCGCCCCACACCTCGGTCGCGGCGGCGAGGTGCTCCGCAATGCTCGACTCACACAGTCCCTCGAGGAGCAGGCTGAGGTCGAGCCCCCGCGCCACGAGCGCGAGCGTGCGCGGCACCGCGGGGGCGCCCTCGCCACCCTCGCCGCCCCTCGCGTGCCCAAAGGCCTCCCACGCATCGACCATCTCGCGGTGGCGCGAGGAGAGGTTGATGAAGCCGACGAGGTGGGGCATGGAGTCGTGCGAAACGGGGAGCCGGAGGAAGCCACGCAGCTCCGCCGCCGCCGCGACTAGGTTCGCATCACGCACCGCGCGCACGAACCTCCTTGCGCCCGCCGACGCGAGGCTTTGCCCCACCTCGGCCGGGTCCGCGGCAGGCCGCGCGGCAGGCCGCGCTTGCACCTCCGCCGCCCCTTCCTCCCTCTCACCTCTCTGCCGCTTCGACGGCGGCGCAGAGTCGGGCGGCGGCCGAAGCGGCTCGCCGCTCCCTCCGCTCTCGCCGGCTCCACCGCCTCCCCCTTTCGCGACGCCTGCTCCGGTCTCGGTGGCGCCTTGAACGCGGCCCGCCACCGTAGACAGTCCACGAGGGAAGACGCGCAGGAAGCGCATCTCACCCTTGCCGTACGAGCGGGAGGAGAGGCCGAGGGAGAGGGCTGCGCCATGCATCTCCTTCCGCTCGCCCTGACTCAGCCCAATTAGGTCCAGCCCGCGCAGGCCAGTGCTCTCTTGGCGGGTCGTGTCGGCGAGCAGCCGCGCCAGCGCCTCCTTGAGCTGCTGCCGCGTCAGAGGCTGTTGTGTCGCGCCGGCACTGGCGCCGAGCCCTTCCCGTCGATCATTGTTTGAGAGCGAGTCGGAGAGTGGCTGAACACGGCCCTCGCCCAGCCTGCCCAGCCCGGAGCCCTGCTGCCAACCCAGCTTGCGCAGCATGCGGAACCCAAAGCCTTCCGGTTCTTCTTCCGGTGGTGCCGCCGCGCCACTCAATCCCAGCAGCTCTTCGCGCGACACTGCATTCTGCGACGGCGCCACCATCTGTTCTGAGCTCGAGTAGCCCTGAACTGCGGCGCTCAGCTCCGCCTGACTCGCCTCAAGCGCAGCGACACCCGTCACGACGCAGTCCTTGCACTTCCTCTCGTGCGCGGCCTTGCGCATCTGCGACTTTGAGAAGCTGTCCGGTGGCTTCACCTCGCCGCATGCCGCGCACGGTGGCCGAGACTGGCTGTTCTTCCGGTGCATGATCGAGAGGTCGGGGAGGAGAGATGCCATGCATGTATCCTGTTCGTAGCCAGGTAGCTGTGAAGAGGATGCGAACCCATCGTCCGATATTGCTTCTTGCTTTTGGTATAGGGCTGAAATTCTTCGGCAAATGGCACACATGGAGTCGGGGGCGAGCGGCTGCCAAGAAGGCGCGCTGCTCGTTCCCCGGCTGCACCCCCACACACAGAGGTACTGGAGTAGGTGGAGGTCTCGTGGTTGGGCATGTGTGGACCTCACTCTTCAGGAGGCAGAGAGGGGTTGGTGGCGGGTTCTTCTCGCGAGAGAGCGGGAGCGTGAGCACGCGAGGCGTGGCGAGGACGCCTGAGGGGGACTGCCCGCAGGACAGCGGCGTCGCGTGTCCATGATCGCGGCGGCTCAGACTCGCTTTTGCCCCAGGGCAAAGGTGGACACTGTCCTGTGGTCGTGCGATGCCCCTCTGCGAGCCGCCGTTCACGGCGTCATTCCACACGCTCCCTTCTCGTTCTTAGATACACGTGATATCGTAGATAAGTTGTAGTATCCTGTTCGTAGCCAGGTAGCTGTGAAGAGGATGCGAACCCATCGTCCGATATTGCTTCTTGCTTTTGGTATAGGGCTGAAATTCTTCGGCAAATGGCACACATGGAGTCGGGGGCGAGCGGCTGCCAAGAAGGCGCGCTGCTCGTTCCCCGGCTGCACCCCCACACACAGAGGTACTGGAGTAGGTGGAGGTCTCGTGGTTGGGCATGTGTGGACCTCACTCTTCAGGAGGCAGAGAGGGGTTGGTGGCGGGTTCTTCTCGCGAGAGAGCGGGAGCGTGAGCACGCGAGGCGTGGCGAGGACGCCTGAGGGGGACTGCCCGCAGGACAGCGGCGTCGCGTGTCCATGATCGCGGCGGCTCAGACTCGCTTTTGCCCCAGGGCAAAGGTGGACACTGTCCTGTGGTCGTGCGATGCCCCTCTGCGAGCCGCCGTTCACGGCGTCATTCCACACGCTCCCTTCTCGTTCTTAGATACACGTGATATCGTAGATAAGTTGTAGTATCCTGTTCGTAGCCAGGTAGCTGTGAAGAGGATGCGAACCCATCGTCCGATATTGCTTCTTGCTTTTGGTATAGGGCTGAAATTCTTCGGCAAATGGCACACATGGAGTCGGGGCCGAGCGGCTGCCAAGAAGGCGCGCTGCTCGTTCCCCGGCTGCACCCCCTTGCGAGCATGTACGAGGTTGCCCGAAATGCCGCCTGCCGTTTGGTAGATTGGAAGAAGACCCTTGGACCAAAGCAGCCCGGAGAATCGGCGCGCAGTCCCAGACTGACGGCCGGTGGCATGAAGCAAGATCGACTTCGGACCAAGTGTCACGTGACGCCCCCCGGGGGGGGGGGGCAAACGTGACGAAATTGCCAATTTGCGCCCTCGGCCCGACCTCTTGGCTAGAAATGACTCCCCCGATGCTCGGTTTGAACATCTCGCAAGCTGGCGTCGCTCGCATAACTGTGACGGAAGGGAGATCCAGAGCAGCTCCTGCTCTGCCCGCCGCCTGGCTGTTTGGCGACAGCAGAAGCCCGCGCAACTGCGTGGGTCCGCGCCACAGGTAGAGACGTTGAGCTTGGCAATGATTTGGTTGTCGTTCGGTCACGGGGCCTGGCGAGGTAGGAGCAGTGCCGATGCGGCGAATAGTCGTGCTTAGCTTCCTAGGCACCCGCAAATGTGCCCTCAACGCGATGCGTCGGCCGGCGGCGCGAGACGAGCGCCGTGCCGCTCCGTCGGTGCGCCGCGCTGTTACTCCGCCGCTAGCCGAGCCAAGGCACGCCATCGCCATCGGGGTGGCGATGGATGCGTGCTGGCGAGGGTCGGGGCGGCGGTCCTGACGCGCCGCTGCGTGGCCGCAGTGGCGCGCTCGACGCCGTGCGTCGAGTAGAGGAGCCGCGACGAGGGCGAGGCCGCCCTGTCGCCGCGTAGCGAGCCGGGCCTGTCCGCCGAGCCGCTGCGAGCCGCTCGCCCGTGAGGCGGCGTCGGCAGCGTGTGCAGCTGGCGAGGCGGTGGCCGCTAAGTGCGGTGGTGCTGCCGACGCGATGCCTCGGTTGGCGTGTCGGTGCCCACGCCCGGCTCCGCCTCGGGGGGCGGTGGGGATCGCGGTCGCTGTCGCGCCGTGTCCCGCAGGAGCGCACCCGTTGGGCCGATTCCCTGCACTGCGCCACGCGTGGGCGCTCCGTCAGTGCGCGTGCAGCTCGCGAGCGCTGTGAGGGAATGAACCTCGGGCTCGAGCCAGTGAGCTGCAGCGCCTCTGTCGGTGCCCACGCCCGGCTCCGCCTCGGGGGGCGGTGGGGATCGCGGCCGCTGTCGCGCCGCAGGAGCGCACCCGTTGGGCCGTTTCCCTGCACTAGATGGCGCAAGGGCCTTAGATGGCGCAAGGGCCTTAGATGGCGCAAGGGCCTTAGATGGCGCAAGGGCCTTACATTAGATGGCGCAAGGGCCTTACATTAGATGGCGCAAGGGCCTTACACTAGATGGCGTAGGGCCTTAGATGGCGCAAGGGCCTTAGATGGCGCAAGGGCCTTAGATGGTCTCCGCAAGGGCGGCCGCATGGGGTATGCCGAGCCGCTGCACCTGGCAGCGTGTGCAGCTGGCGAGGCGGCGGCTGCATTCGGCTCTCTCCTACGCATCCGCCGCGTGAGCGCGGTGGCACTGCCGACGCGATGCGTCGGCTGGCGGCGCGAGACGAGCGCCGTGCAGCTCCGTCGGCGCGCCGCGCTGTTACTCCGCCGCTAGCCGAGCCAAGGCACGCCATCGCCATCGGGGTGGCGACGGATGTGTGCTGGCGAGGGTCGGGGCGGCGGTCCTGACGCGCCGCTGCGTGGCCGCAGTGGCGCGCTCGACGCCGTGCGTCGAGTAGAGGAGCCGCGACGAGGGCGAGGCCGCCATGTCGCCGCGTGGCGAGCCAGGCCTGTCCGCCGAGCCGCTGCGAGCCGCTCGCCCGTGAGGCGGCGTCGGCAGCGTGTGCAGCTGGCGAGGCGGTGGCCGCATTCGGCTCTCTCCTGGGCATCCGCCGCGTAAGCGCGGTGGTGCTGCCGACGCGATGCGTCGGCTGGCGGCGCGAGACGAGCGCCGTGCCGCTCCGTCGGTGCGCCGCGCTGTTACTCCGCCGCTAGCCGAGCCAAGGCACGCCATCGCCATCGGGGTGGCGATGGATGCGTGCTGGCGAGGGGCGGCGGGCGGGGCGGCGGTCCTGACGCGCCGCTGCGTGGCCGCAGTGGCGCGCTCGACGCCGTGCGTCGAGTAGAGGAGCCGCGACGAGGGCGAGGCCGCCCTGTCGCCGCGTGGCGAGCCGGGCCTGTCCGCCGAGCCGCTGCGAGCCGCTCGCCCGTGAGGCGGCGTCGGCAGCGTGTGCAGCTGGCGAGGCGGTGGCCGCATTCGGCTCTCTCCTGGGCATCCGCCGCGTAAGCGCGGTGGTGCTGCCGACGCGATGCGTCGGTTGGCGGCGCGGGACGAGCGCCGTGCCGCTCCGTCGGTGCGCCGCGCTGTTGCTCCGCCGCTAGCCGAGCCAAGGCACGCCATCGCCATCGGGGTGGCGACGGATGTGTGCTGGCGAGGGTCGGCGGGCGGGGCGGCAGTCCTGACGCGCCGCTGCGTGGCCGCAGTGGCGCGCTCGACGCCGCGCGTCGAGTAGAGGAGCCGCGACGAGGGCGAGGCCGCCCTGTCGCCGCGTAGCGAGCCGGGCCTGTCCGCCGAGCCGCTGCGAGCCGCCCGCCCGTGAGACGGCGTCGGCAGCGTGTGCAGCTGGCGAGGCGGTGGCCGCATTCGGCTCTCTCCTGGGCATCCGCCGCGTAAGCGCGGTGGTGCTGCCGACGCGATGCGTCGGCTGGCGGCGCGAGACGAGCGCCGTGCCGCTCCGTCGGCGCGCCGCGCTGTTGCCCCGCCGCTAGCCGAGCCAAGGCACGCCATCGCCATCGGGTTGGCGACGGATGCGTGCTGGCGAGGGAGGCGGGCCTTATGCGCGACTCATTGCGCATCCGTTCCTGGGGGCGGCATCACAAGCGCTGCTGGGCTGCCGGGTTGGTCCTCGAGCCTCTGCTGTCACCAGTCGAAGCGGTGTCGGCGTCGAAGCGAGCCGAGGACCGCCGCGGCTCGGCAAACAGGGCGCCGTGTGTCGCCGCCTCGTCTTTCTTCTTTTCGCGAGAGAGCGGGAGCGTGAGCACGCGAGGCGTGGCGAGGACGCCTGAGGGGGACTGCCCGCAGGACAGCGGCGTCGCGTGTCCATGATCGCGGCGGCTCAGACTCGCTTTTGCCCCAGGGCAAATGGACACTGTCCTGTGGTCGTGCGATGCCCCTCTGCGAGCCGCCGTTCACGGCGTCATTCCACACGCTCCCTTCTCGTTCTTAGATACACGTGATATCGTAGATAAGTTGTAGGAGCGCAAAAAGGAATTGTCGCGGGGTTACTGACTGCACTCCAAGTGCTCCAAGTGCAAAATGGGAGAGCAACACAAAACGGCCCCGCGGGAGAGAGATTTGTTTTGTCCCCGCGGCGTCTCGCCATCCCGCATCCGGATGAGGTGACCTCCACGAGGAGACGAAGGAGGTGTACGAGGGCGAGGTCACTTGGAGCTCGTTCGCAGATTATTTCCCCTACCTCTCTCCCGCCACAGCAGGGGTACTCGAGTACAAACCGCCCGCCCGCACACGTACTTAGTCGTCCAGCTCACACAGCGCCGCCACCCCCCTCTTCACCCAGTGTTCCTGCGGCTGCTCCTCTAACCGCGGCAGCTTGAGGAACATGACAAAGTTGGTCGAATGGCCCGTCGTCGAGAGCGTGCCGCGCCGGTCGGACGTCTTGTAGAGGGGGCAGAGGTAGTGCGCCCGGTCGGCGATGTCAGCCTCCCGTTGCGGTCGCAGCCAGAGGGAGGGGAGTTTGGTGAAGAGTACCTTAGGTTCCGACTCGCCGAGCACCGCGCTGCTCTCGTCGAAGCGCGCGCCCTCCAGGAAGATCCCGTGCACGTACACGCCCTCCTGCGGCGCGACGGAGCAGTCGTGGTTCGCCGGGAGCACGTGCATGTCAAAGCCGAGGTGGTCGATCGGGATCGCGTTGGCCCTCGCGTAGTTTTGGCTGGAGCCCGTGAGGAACGCCTGTGTGAAGAAAAAGCCGGAGATCCAAAAGTGGGTCGGCACGCCGTTGTCGAGCCAGCCCTGGAAGAAGGCTAGGCCCTCCGTCGCGGTTGCTTGCAGCACGTTGGGTTTGGCCACGGTCGACGCCATCACCTTCCGCCATAGCCGATCCACCTGGGTGAAGCGCATGGCCTCCTGCGGCATCTGCCGCATGATGTCTTCCGATGAGAAAATTGGCTCGAGGTACAGCCAGACCGACTGACACTTGAGCCACTCGTCGATGACCTCCTGCATGCCGATCAGCTTTGCCTCCCACGCGTGCACGCGCGCCTCGAAAGGGCGGATGAAGGGCGACCCACGCATCGCCTGTGTCTTCACAATGTGGTCGTCGAAGAGCGACTGGATCTCGTCCAGGGCACGCAAAATGTGCGTGCCGGTGTCGCGATACTCGGCCGTGTCAAAGACGACCGGCCTCCACTCGGCCAACATCTTGTCGAGCGTCTTTTCGAGCGAGTGCTCCTTCGAGGCCATCTCCGAAACCTCCTGGAGCGCCGCCAAGTCCTTGTCGACACCCTCCTCAAGCAGCATCGCCAGAGTTGTGACGCCGGGCTGAGGCTTGACGCTCTTGCCGAGCGTCTCGTCCAGGTGGCGCCAGTGGCGCTCGCGAAGGCCCGGGTTCAGCACAGCTGCAAGTAATGGTAGGTGTTCTTTGAAGTCGTCCAGCTTGGCGCGCACCTGACTTATGACACCGAGTGGCCCCTCGTGCCCGACCAAGAGCTTGCTGACCTTGTACAGCTGCCGCCGCCACTCGTCGACGTCTTGCTCGACTTGCTCTGTGGAGATTTCGACGACAGGCCCCTCCATCCAGGTCGGGTGCGCGCGCGAGAAAGCGGCGGCGATGCGCCACAAGTTCGCGTGAGGCTCGAGGGCCTTCTCCAGCTCCGCAAGCTGCGGATACTCTATCTGCTCCCAGCCGAAGAGTACAGCTCGTGAGTTGTACAGCGCCCCCTGCTGCTTGGCAGCCTCGAGCTGCTCCTTGAGCTCCGTGACGTGCGCAGACGTCTCCTCGACGTTGCTGTTGGCGTTGAAGGCCGTCAGCGTCTTCGCCTCTGCCTCCCACGCCTCGAGTTGCTCGCCAAACCGCTCGCGGTCAGACTGCAGCTGCTCCTGAAACTGGATCGTATCGCGCTCCTGTTTGAGCTGCGCTGCCGCTGCCTGTTGCTCGATACGATGCGGCCAGCCCACTGCCTCGTGCAGCGCGGCGGAGGTCTCGTCTGGTAAGGCATAGGAGAACTGGTCGAGCACCGCCGCGCGCGCAAGCAGCTCGGTGGCAACGGTAAGACTGATGTCCCCGCACTCATCCGCGGCGGAGTCGAGCTGCTCCTTCATCGCCATCGCCGCCTCAGTCGAGTCCGAATCTTGCGTGAGCGAAGCTAAGAGCGACGAGGAGCGGCTCGCGACCGAAGCCGTCTTCTCAACGAGCTCGGCGTGAAGGAGGTCCGCAACGCCGCGTTGCAGAGTCTCAGCCTTCGCGACAAGCTCGGCACGGAGCTCCTCCGTGTGGACCAAGAGCAGCCGGCAGTGCACCTCGGATGGTGCCGCCGCTCGCACTGTCTCAGCCACCTCGCCCCAGCGTCGCAGCTCAACGCCAAAGGCCTCGAGGCTCGGCGCCGACTCGCGCAAGCCATCGAGGTAGCCGCTCTCCGCCATACTGGCCAGCTCCTCGAACTGGGCCATGTGCGCACGCAGCTGCCGCGGCCGCTCCAGGGAACGCTCAACCATCCTGCGCACCTCGCCACGTGCTGCCAGCACACTCATGCGTCGTGGGCAGAGGCGTGCGTCGTCGGAGGCAGCCTTATCGAGCGACCGTAGCTCTTCGAGTGCATCCACGCCCAGCTCAGAGGCGACGACGGCAGGCAAGCCCGCGGTAGCACCGGCAGCGCGGTCAAAGAGCCCCTCGAGCGCAGCCGCCACCTCTTCGAGAGTCGGCGCAAAGACGAGCGAGCTGTCCTCGAGCCGCAGGGCAACCGCGAGCAGCGGTGGCGCGGCGGGAGGCCATTCGTGCACCCACTGAATGACAGGTGAACTGCACTCCGACGCTGGCACTGCAAACCTGCACACGAGGCGCAGAATCTCCGCGAGCGTCGAGTACTCGAGGGCCTGCAGCTGATCTTGCATCATGAGGCGCAGTAGCTGCAACAGCCGAGGGCCGCGCCCATGGGCGTAGCTGTTGGTGGAGATGCCCCTCATCGCCCCGACTTCCTGTGCGAGAATGCGCTCGCATGCGGGCACCCATTCCTCACGAAGGCGCCGGCCGACGCCGTCGACGTGTGTCGCTTGTGTTTCGATGAACTCATCGAGCTTGCACGGCAGCTCCATAGGAAGCCCAGCGACGAGTGAGGTGGCGCTAAGCCAGAGCGACTCAGCCCACACGCGGCGGGTGCAGCGGAGCAACGCGGAGTCCGCAACGAGAGCTGGTGGCGAGGGGAGAGGGGTGGCGCCCGTCCCCGCCGCTGGCCATATCGCTTCCACCCCGAGGGACGGCGCGGGCGCATCGGAAGGCGGTGGCAGCCCGGGCGGCGTCGAAACTGAGCAGGTGCGCAATGACTGATCGAGCGCTGCCCGTCCCATTGCCTGGCTGTAAATCTCGAGCTGCGCACCAAGTGCCTGGCTGGTGATGCCCTCGAACCAAGCGACAATCTGCGCCGGAGCAGCAACCGTTCGCTCTACCCCTCCACCAAGGGCGCACTGATGATACCGCGCCTCGGCTTCAACCTGGGAGCGCAACGCTCGAGCGGCGCCCAATCGTGCGCGGAATCTCCTCTCGTCCTCACTATCAAACTGCAGGTTCAGCCGAGTCACTTGCTTCGTGCGGCCGCTCCCCCATCGTATCGTGAATGTTCCGCTTGCAGGGTCATGTCGGATCACCGTGCAAGGCTCCCACGACGTATCGCCTGAGGTCGAGCGGAAGCGCGAGCGAGCCGACACCGGTGTCTCAGAGAGGTGATGCCACGTCTCTAGTAGAAGCGGCTCCATGGTCTCTGGGTTGTCGAAGACCTCGAGCGGCAGGAAGCTCGACGGCAGAGGCTGAGCTGCGTCCGGTGCCGGGGTGAGGCCAAGCTGCGGACTCGACTCGAGCGTCTCTTGGCTGACGGCAACTTCGAGCTTGCCGCCGAGGAGGAGCGCGTCGGGGCCGAATCTACGGACCTTCTGGGTGGCTGCCATGTCGCGGTAGTTGGGACCGGGTGTGCACCCGGCCTCAGCTGCTGCCAGCCATGGCCGTGCAGCTTCTGCCCGGCTGCGCACCCCCGCCTTTGGTGGTGACGGCCTTGACGGCGGCGGCGGGACAGGCTGGGCTGCGTCGGCATCTAGCTCCCCATCGGAGCCCCGGAGGAGCACCTTTGGGATACGGAGCCGTGTCACTGTGCGTGCACCTTGCTCAGCGTCTCCTCTCCGTGGGCGGGGGCGGTATGTGTGCTTGGGAAGCAGTTGAGCACGAGGTGCCGCCTCGCCATTAGGCGCGGTCGGCAGCGTGCTTGCAAGGGTGGATGATTGACGAAGGCGCTGCACCGCACGTATTGCCAACGTCTTTCTGCTTCTGTCCTCCATACAATGCTTTTGCGGTCTCTTTTCCGCTTTCTCTTTTATTTAACTTTCTTAATTTCGTCCTGTTTGTCTTGGTTACACCGCTTTTTTTTTTTTTTTT